CAGAGGCAGACGTCTTCCTTAGTCCTCCTTCTAGAGGTCACTGTATTGGTTGTCGAGGATCGCACCTGGGACCTTGTGCAAAGGAATGACCTCTGCCGTTGCATGATGGCACCCTCCGTGCTCTTGTCTAGCTCAGTTCATGGAAACTGTTGGAACAAACCCTCCATAAATTCCTTCCTCTGTCCTGCCTGCTAAGCACCTTGGCCTCTTTAGGTATTCTCCACCAGCGACATGCAACCCAAATGTGTATTTCAAAACTGTATCAATAACCTTCTGAGGCGTCTCACAGTCATTTGCCGCAACGGTAGAGGATGAGTCATCTCTGCATTAATTCAGGAGTCAGGGATTTTAACCTCCTGAGGCACCTTGTCAGCATAAACAATCGCTCTCTGCCCCTCTTCGATCATTGTTTGTTGTGATCTCTGCGGCCAAGCATTCGGGGTGTCGGCAATTCGTGGCACAAGTAACCTCCAGCTCACGAGTAACTACACATGTTTGGGGTGGGTGGGGGAATGGTTGACGTGTGTTGGTTAAGAAATCACCTTGCTAGGGTCTTGGTAATGAAGCCAACTTAAGAAATTCAGGTCAGTCCCTTGTCAAATTTTTTGGAATCAGAATTGCAGAATGGCAAAGTAATCAAATGTCTTGTCGAAGGCTTTCATGGCCGGAATCACTGGGTTGTTGTAGGTTTTTTTTGGGCTATATGGCCATGTTCTAGAGGCATTCTCTCCTGATGTTTTGCCTGCATCTATGGCAAGCATCCTCTGAGGATGCTTGCCATAGATGCAGGCGAAACGTCAGGAGAGAATGCCTCTAGAACAAGGCCATATTCAACAATGTTTGGGACTGGGTTGGAACTGGTCATTCTCAAAGGCTTGTTGAAACCACCGGGGCTTCAAGCTCTTACGAAAGGAGGGGAGGGATGGGCCCTGTATTATTTCCCTTGGAAGGCCGTTCCAGAGGTGGGGGGCCACCACCGAGAAGGCCCTGTCTCTCCCCACTTGTGATGGTGGTGGGAGCGAAAGGAGGGCCTCCCCAGAAGATCTTAGAGTTTGCACTGGTTCATAGAAGGAGATGCGATCGCGAAGATAGGCGGGGTCCGAACTGTTCAGGCCTTTATAGGTCATGACCTGCACCTTGAATTTGGCTCGGCAGCTTATCGGCAGCCAATGAAGCTGTTTTAATAGGTGTAGATATAATTTTATCATTTGGACTGGATGGCCCATGTGGTCTCTTCCAATTCTATTATTCCATGATTCATTAAAGGTGAAAGCAAATTTGGCATACTAATGAGATGGATGTACAGTAGAGTCTCGCTTATCCAACATAAATGGGCCAGCAGAATGTTGGATAAGCAAAAATGTTGGATAATAAGGAAGGATTAAGGAAAAGCTTATTAAATATCAAATTACGTTATGATTTTACCAATTAAGCACCAAAACATCCTGTTTTATAACAAATCGACAGAAAAAGCAGTTCAATACACGGGTTGTTGTAGGTTTTTCCAGGTTATATGGCCATGTTCTAGAGGCATTTTCTCCTGACGTTTCGCTTGCATCTATGGCGAGCATCCTCAGAGGTAGTGAACCCTCACTACCTCTCAGTGAGAACCCTCAGAAACTCAGAGGAACCCTCACTACCTCTGAGGATGCTTGCCATAGATGCAGGCGAAACGTTAGGAGAAAATGCCTCTAGAACATGGCCATATAACCCGGAAAAACCTACAACAACCCAGTGATTCCGGCCATGAAAGCCTTCGACAATACAGTTCAATACACAGTAATGTTATGTAATAATTACTGTATTTACAAATTTAGCACCAAAAACAGACAAGGGTTCTTTCTTTCTCCCACCTTGGACATTATTCCGGGCAAAAGGCAGACTATGTTGGATAATACAGAACGTTGGATGAGCAAAGCTTGGATAAACAATACTCTACTGTATTTATTTATTTGTTTGTACATAAAGATTTAAATCTTGGCTGAATCTCTGATACTGCAGGATGTAGTGGGGCATCTTCAACATTTTTCAGGCTTAGTTTTCAGACTGTGTTGGCTCTCCCTTTTCCTCCTGAATCTGTGTAGATGCCTACAACAGCCACTAGGTGGCAAGCTACACACATTTTTGCGACCCCAGATTCAGTTAGCCGATGGGATCGTGACCCATGGTTTAAGAAGTTTAGATCTAGTTCATTCAGGCTTAGTTTTCAGCCTAAAGTGGCATACTATATTGTGCCTCCTTTCTCTCTCTCCTGAATCCATGTAAATGCCCATAACAGCCACTATGTGGAAACCTACACACATTTTTGTGACCCCCAGATTCAGTTAGGAGATGAGATCATGAACCATGGTTTAAGAAGCTTAGATCTAGTTCATTCAGGCTTAGTTTTCAGTTTCAAGTGGCAGACTTATGTTGTCCCTCCTTTTTTCTCTCCCGAATCCATGTAAATGCCTACAACAGCCACTAGGTGGAAACCTACACACATTTTGTGACCCCAGATTTAGGTAGGAGATAGGATCGTCACCCATGGTTTAAGAAGCTTAGATCTAGTTCATTCAGGCTTAGTTTTCAGCCTCAAGTGGCAGACTTATGTTGGCTCACCTTTTTTCTCCTAAATCCGAGTAAATGCCTACAACAGGCTCTAGGTGGCAAGCTACACACATTTTTGTGACCCCAGATTCAGTTAAGAGATGGGATCGTGACCCATGGTTTAAGAAGCTTAGATCTAGTTCATTCAGGCTTAGTTTTCAGGTTCAAGTAGCAGACTTACGTTGTCCCTCCTTTTTTTCTCTCCTAAATCTTTGTAAATGCCTACAACAGCCACTAGATGGCAAGCTGCACGCATTTTTGTGACCCCCCCAGATTCAGTTAGGCAATGGGATTGTGACCCATGGTTTAAGAAGCTTAGATCTATCTAGTTCATTCAGGCTTAGTTTTCAGCCTGAAGTGGCAGACTATGTTGGCTCTCCTTTTTTCTCCTGAATCCATGTAAATGCCTACAACAGCCACTAGGTGGAAACCTGCACACATTTTTGTGACCCCCAGATTCAGTAATAATAATAATAATAATAATAATAATAATAATAATAACAATAATAACTTATTTGTACCCCGCTACCATCTTCCCAAGGGACTCGGTGCAGCTTACATGAGGCCGAGCCCACAACATTAAACAATAGCAACAGTAATACAAAACAATAAATAAACTCATAAGCAAAAAATAAGCAATAAACATTAACAATAACATGACGCGTTTAAAAACCTATGGCTGGGCCAAATGTAATAATTAAAAATGTAAAAAATAATACTGGGCATGACAAGGTGACATATAACTAAGACAGAAGTTTTGGAGAGGGATGAAATGTGCAGACAAGCATAGATCACTAATAAAGTGCATTTAGGGACATATTGCTGGGAGGTTACTTATTCTGGAAAGGTGCACTGAAACAACCATGTTTTCAGGCTCCTCCCAAAGACTGCCAGAGTTGGGGCATGCCTAATATCCTTGGGGAGTGAGTTCCAGAGTCGAGGGGCCACCACCGAGAAGGCTCTCTCCCTCGTCCCCACCAATCGCGCTTGCGATGGTGGTAGGAGCATGAGCAGGGCCTCTCCAGATGATTGAAGAGATCGTGTGGGTTCGTACACAGAGATGCGGTCATGCAGGTAGGTGGGTCCCAAACTGTTTAGGGCTTAGTTAGGCGATGGGATTGTGACCCATGGTTTAAGAAGCTTAGATCTAGTTCATTCAGGTTTAGTTTTCAGCTTCAAGTAGCAGACTTATGTTGTCCCTCTTTTTTTCCCCCTCCTGAATCTATGTAAATGCCTACAACAGCCACTAGATGGCAAGCTACACACATTTTTGTGACCCCCAGATTCAGTTAGGCGATGGGATCATGACCCATGATTTAAGAAGCTTAGCTCTAGTTCAACCTCTGCCAATGCATGGAATTTAGGGAATTGAGCCGTACCTGGTCCTACCTTCTGTGATCTCTCCACCTGTGTATTAAACTGGGAAATTTCACAATTGTGTGCAAGAATCTCCCGCATTATTGATGTTGAATTCCACTACTTAGGCGATCCCTCGTAGTCCGAGGATGATGGTCCTCCAAGTTCGGTGTCCTGGGGGTGGGTTCGGCGGTGGCTGTGGAGCCCTATTCTTGACCTGCATCTTCTCCCAAAGTGAGGACATTGGGTTCTAGGTGGGAGGTGGTCTCGGTCGGGGTTGGCTTGATGTTGAATAATAGGGCTACAAGATAGGGAATAATAGGGCTACAAGATACCGTTGGAAGGTTGACTAGGGATGTAAAGTTGACCTAGTTGCAATGTGTTGAATTCCTTTATATCTTCTAATTTGTTGGTGGTGTGTATCTTCAAGTCACTTGTGAACTATGACCACTGTAAGGTGAACCTTTCATGATGTTTCCTTCAAGTTTTGTTCAGAGGGAGTTTGCCATTGCCTTCCTTTGAGAGAGGTCATCCAGTGGGTTTCCATCACCAAGCATGGATTTGAACCCTGGTCTTAGTAGTTGTAGTCCAGTTCACTACACCTCATTGACTCTTCCTCTTAAGAATAGATAGTAGTTCTTTCTTCATTTACTTTGTGCTGTATTCCCTGTCTTCAAAAAGGTTGTGTTCGTTTTGTTAACTTGCAGGTGACGTTAAATATAACTGCTTAATTTGGTGACAAAGCAGAAAATAGAGCAACTAAAAAGTTGCTTAACTCTCGGAAAAACCTTCCACATAGAGTTGTAGGTGCAGGACTTCCCGAACATAAGTGGCCTCCCCTTTGTTTTGGCTCAGTCGCAACGACCTGTGTTTTCTGTTTCTTTATTTACTATTTATTTCTTGATTTTTATTGTGCTAAGCAAGCGTGGTTCATGCTAAGCAGGCTGCTGATTCCGCTGCTGATGTGTGTACATGCTTCCATCTTGTTGAAAGAGAGGCACAAGTCTCGATCATTGATTTATTTGACGACCACAAGGTTTCTTTTCACTCCGCAGGGATTTGCTCAGAGTTTATTGAGAAGGATGTCTTACCGGAGTTCGGTGCCTGGCTGCGGAGTGACGTTTGAAGTCGTTTCGAACATCCCGGAGGTGAGAATCGGGGAGACAAAGGGGTGAAAACCATTTCCTAAACTGGTTTTGGTGCAATCTCTGTCAAAAAGTGGTGCTGCTTCTACTCACTAGAACTCCCAACATATGGAAAATGGAAATCTCCATAGCCTTTTGGAGATTTTATGATGTTTGAAAAGGCCTGACCTTGCTAGAAGTCATAACCTTTTGAAAAATTATGTCATAACCTTTTGGTCACCTATGGATGTGAGAGCTGGACCTTAGGGAAGGCTGAGCGAAGGAAGAGAGATGCTTTTGAACTGTGGTGTTGGAGGAAAGTTCTGAGAGTGATTTGGACTGCGAGAAGATCCAACCAGTCCATACTTCAGGAAATCAAGCCCAACTGCTCACTGGAGGGAAGGATAGTAGGGACAAAATTGAAGTCCTTTGGCCACATCATGAGGAGACAGGAAAGCTTAGAGAAGACAATGATGCCGGGGAAAATGGAAGGAAAAAGGAAGAGGGGCTGACCAAGGGCAAGATGGATGGATGGCATCCTTGAAGTGACTGGATTGACCTTGAAGGAGCTGGGGGTGGTGACGGCCGACAGGGAGCTCTGGTGTGGGCTGGTCCATGAGGTCATGAAGAGTTGGAAACGACTGAACGAATGAACAACAAAACCTTTTGGTAGAAGCATGACCTGTAGAGTCATAACCTTTTGGAAAAATGGCATTCATTTCATTATTTATGTATTTATTTATTTACAGTATTTGTATTCCGTCCTCCTCACCCTGCAGGGGACTCAGGGCGGATTACAACGCACACATACATGGCAAACATTCAATGCCATAGACACACAACATATATAGACAGACACACAGAGGCTATTTAACATTCCAGCTTTTTCATGAGGGTATTCTGGCCACCAGGGGAGCTATTGCTTCCCCGTCCTTTTGTGACACTGATGAAGTACTTCCTCATTCTTTGCATGCTTGCTGGAGAGTTTTATGACGTCGTAAATTAGTTAAATTTGCCTCCCCACATAAGTGGTACCTAAATTTCCTACTTGACAGTTGCTACTATCTTTCAGGCTGCAAAGGTCAACAACACAGCTACACAATTTTGGTCGGGAGCTCACTCCGACCTGGGCTGGCTTCAAAGTCATGACCTTGAGGTCAGTAGTGATCTGTCCGGCAACCGGGTTTGCTTTACAGCCAGCCGTGGAAACGAGTGAGGAGAATGAGGCCCAAGACAGGCCTTGGAATTTCTCTTGCTTTCTCTTGCTCTTGTGATGTTATCTGCCTAGAATGGACCCTGTTGTGCTGAGTTACATGGACAGTTTGCTGAGGCGGTCGGATGTCTTGCTGCTGGACCCTCCCTGCTGGCTTAATGATCACATTATTGGCTTTGCCTTTGAGTACTTTGCCTGTGATCAGTTCCAAGACTTTGCTGATCAGTACTGATCTTAATGCAGCTGACTCCCAGCCAGCTGCACCACAGTCCCAGTGCTAGCCTAGTGCCTAGATCCAGGGAAGTCATGCTCCCTCTGTATTCTGCCTTGGTCAGACCACACCTGGAATCACACTGTGTCTAATTGTGGGCACTGCAATTTAAGGGAGATGTTAACTCTAAGCTGGAATGTGTCCAGAGGATGGCGACTGAAATTATCAAGGGTCTGGAGGATAAGCCCTATGAGGAACGGCTTCAAGATCTGGGCATGTTGAGCCTGCAGAAAGGAAGACTGAGAGGAGACACGATTAGGGTCATGGATCAAGATATGAGAAGTCATAGGTGAGAGCTGCCCTGGAGACTAGGACACAGTAGAACAATGGCTTCAAACTACAGGAAAGGAGATTCCACCTGAACATGAGGAAGAACTTCCTGACTGTGAGAGCTGTTCAGCAGTGGAACTCTCTGCCCCAGAGTATAGTGGAGGCTCCTTCTTTGGAGGCGTTTAAACAGAGGCTGTATGGCCATCTGTGGGGGTGCTTTGAATGCGATTTTCCTGCTTCTTGGCAGAATGGGATTGGATGGGATGGCCCACAAGGTCTCTTCCAACTCTAGGATTCTGTGACTCAGTTTCCCACTTTTCTTGGTTCTTTTCTTTTGCCCTTTCATTGACTTGGGATGGTTTCTTCTTCTTCTCCATCCAGGATGCTCAAGGAGTAGAGGAACGAGAAGCACTAGCAAGAATGGCAGCCAACGTTGACAATGCCGCTTCAGCCGATTCAGAAGCCCATATTGAGAAATACCTCCGAAGCGTCCTGGCCGTGGAGAACATCCTCACTCTGGACCGGCTACGTCAGGTGAGTGTAATTAGCAGTACGCCTTAGACCTGTGGTGGTGCTAAGAGGTTGCATCACCCCCAGATGATTTTGGAGAGCCATAATGTTTTGGAGTATTTATTTATTTATTTACAGTATTTATATTCCGCCCTTCTCACCCCGCAGGGGACTCAGGGCAGATTACAATGTACATATACATGGCAAACATTCAATGCCATAGACACACAACATATATAGACAGACACAGAGGCAATTTAACATTCCAGCTTTTCTTGAGGGTATTCTGGCCACCAGGGGAGCTGTCGCTTCACCATCCATTTGTGACACTGATGAAGTACTTCCTCATTCTTTGCAGGCTTGCTGGAGATTTTTATGGCATCGTAAATTAGTTAAATTAGCCTCCCCACATAGGCGGTACCTAAATTTCCTACTTGACAGATGTTCAGAGTTGGAAGAGACCTCATGGGCCATCCAGTCCAACCCCATTCTGCCAAGAAGCAGGAATATTGCATTCAAATCACCCTGACAGATGGCCATCCAGCCTCTGTTTAAAAGCTTCCAAAGAAAGAGCCTCCACCACACTCCGGGGCAGAGAGTTCCACTGCTGAACGGCTCTCACAGTCAGGAAGTTCTTCCTCATGTTCAGATGGAATCTCCTCTCTTGTAGTTTGAAGCCATTGTTCCATTGCGTCCTAGTCTCCAGGGAAGCAGAAAACAAGCTTGCTCCCTCCCTGTGGCTTCCTCTCACATATTTATACATGGCTATCACATCCCCTCTCAGCCTTCTCTTCTTCAGGCTAAACATGCCCAGCTCCTTAAGCCGCTCCTCATAGGGCTTGTTCTCCAGACCCTTGATCATTTGTTAGTCCCTCCTCTGGACACATTCCAGCTTGTCAATATCTCTCTTGAATTGTGGTGCCCAGAATTGGACACAATATTCCAGGTGTGGTCTAACCAAAGCAGAATAGAGGAAGTACTTCCTCATTCTTTGTAGGCTTGCTGGAGATTTTTATAGCATCGTAAATTAGTTAAATTAGCCTCCCTGCATAGGCGGTACCGAAATTTCCTACTTGACAGATGCAACTGTCTTTTGGGCTGCAAAGGTCGACAGCGAGCTACACAAATTGGTCGGACACTCACTCTGACCCAAGCTGGCTTTGAACTCCTGACCTTTTCGGTCAGTAGTGATCTTAAAACAGCTGATTCCCAGCCATCTGCGCCACAGTCCCAGTGCCGGTATTATGCCCATAAGCCCCCAAACCCAATATTTTGCACTCAAATGCCCTCAAACACAAATTTCACCACTCTCAAACATTTTAGGCTGAGCACAGACCTTCTTGAACAATAGAACGCTTTCCATATCTGTTTTGGACCTCAAGTGGTCCTCTTTTGGACCTTAAATGGACCCCAAAACATGGGGAAAGTGTTTCAGACCCCATAGGAGACATTTGGGAACATGTGTAGACCCACATGTAGCAATGAACACATCTCAGGGGGTGTTTATGATATCGAGGCTGCATCTTGCCCATTCCAACATTGACTGGAATTGTGACATCATGTCTGTTGATGTATGGATGGGTAGACATATAGGGACCTTCTGGAAACTAGTCCAATGTGGGCTAGGCAAAACTACGGCGAGGTGGATCAGTAATTGGTTAAATGGACGAACCCAGAGGGTGCTCACCAATGCTTCCTCTTCATCCTGGAAAGAAGTGACGAGTGGAGTGTCGCAGGGTTCCGTCCTGGGCCCGGTCCTGTTCAACATCTTTATTAATGACTTAGATGAAGGGCTAGAAGGCAGGATCATCAAGTTTGTAGACGACACCAAATTGGGAGGGAGAGCCAATACTCCAGAGGACAGGAGCAGGATTCAAAACTATCTTGACAGATTAGAGAGATGGGCCAAAACTAACAAAATGAAGTTCAACAGTGACAAATGCAAGATACTCCACTTTGGCAGGAAAAACGAAATGCAAAGATACAGAATGGGGGGACAATGCCTGGCTCGAGAGCAGTACGTGTGAAAAAGATCTTGGAGTCCTCGTGGACAACAAGTTAAACATGAGCCAACAATGTGATGTGGCAGCAAAAAAAGCCAATGGGATTTTGGCCTGCATCAAGAGGAGCCTAGTGTCTAGGTCCAGGAAGTAATGCTACCCCTCTATTCTGCTTTGGTTAGACCACACCTGGAATATTGTGTCCAATTCTGGGCACCACAATTCAAGAGAGATATTGACAAGCTGGAATGTGTCCCAAGGAGGGCGACTAAAATGATCAAGGGTCTGGTAACAAGCCCTATGAGGAGCGGCTTAAGGAGCTGGGCATGTTTAGCCTGAAGAAGAGAAGGCTGAGAGGAGATATGATAGCCATGTATAAATATGTGAGAGGAAGTCACAGGGAGGAGGGAGCAAGCTTGTTTTCTGCTTCCTTGGAGACTAGGACTCAATGGAACAATGGCTTCAAACTACAAGAGAGGAGATTCCATCTGAACATGAGGAAGAACTTCCTGACTGTGAGAGCCGTTCAGCAGTGGAACTCTCTGCCCTGGAGTGTGGTGGAGGCTCCTTCTTTGGAAGCTTTTAAACAGAGGCTGGATGGCCATCTGTCAGGGGTGATTTGAATGCAATATTCCTGCTTCTTGGCAGAATGGGGTTGGACTGGATG